CATCAACTGTTTGGTTACCAACATTCCTCAAAATATATTCTTTTGTGTTCACCAGAAGAAAGAAATTCCTGAAGGTTTGTAACCACTTGAAGGTGAGTTTGGGGGGAAGAATCCCTTTAAGCAGCACAAATGTCTATTCTCCAACATTGATAATAATAAGAAATGTTTCTTAAAGGAGTAGTTCACTTTTAGGCCGTGTGTCAAAGCGTTTTTCCACGCGCCTGGCGTACGTTTTCAATTGTTTTCAATGGGAGCACCGCGTTTTTTAAACGCCATGAGCGTAACGAGGCGCTGGGCGTTTTAAACACGCTGAAGCGCCGAGCACCCAACGTTTTCTACTGGTCACCGAGAGTTGAAAAATGTTCAGCTTTGGATAAAATGCAGCCCTCATCACTGTCACTTTTTTAATCGAGCGAATGGGCTCTATGCACGGCGTTATTTCCGGTGAAGGATTAAGGATGCTCGATAACTTCCGCCGATCATAGAGTCCAATGCAATACCGAGAATTTATATTGAATTTTATACTCCATGGTTATACTAATGAAACGTTAGTCACAAAAAACAGATAAAACAGACACCCCTCGTTGTGTTTATGCTTCTTTTTAAAATTATATTAAATAAACATAACTATATATAAAATTACATCTAAACGTATGTACGTTTCGTTTCAAAGACGGGAGGACAGTAAATATTGAAGACTCTGCCATAATCCCGTTTTCTCCGGTTTTCCTCCGCTTTAATCTACACAACCGGAAATGGACGAGCATCCTTACGTCAAATGCGGAACTTATGCGTGCATATAGCCCATTATGCGCCGAAACCTCTCACACACACAAAAAGTGTTTTACTCACACCCAATGATTCACAAACAAACTCAATGTGGTTTGTAAACACAAAACATCACTCACAAACTAATGCATATTGTTCTGCAAATAAAAAACGTACCTATCAAACAAATACAGTTTGTTTTACATATACATAGAAACGTATTTCTTCAATGACAAAAATATCTTTCAAGTACAAACTAAAATCTTTCAAGTACAAAACAAAAACCTTCAAGTATAAAGCAAGATTCTACAAGTACAAAACTAAATTCTACGAAAAAATGTCACGTGACTTTTGGCACTATTTATGGGGGGGGGGGGGGGGGGGGGGAATCAATTTCGCGCTATAGTCTCTTGGGACTCGGAGAAACACTGATGTGAAACGCGTGCTCGCCTTTGCCCATGGGAAAATGAGCGGTGAACAGGTGTGTCTTACTTTATCTATAATTAACCTTATTGAGGTTTTGGGAAATGTTTATTATATAGAGAGAAATCCACATTAGCACTTAGTAACTTAGTAGCACTCATAAGGGAATCTATAAGCTGAAAGCTCTGCCATCATGTTGCTTTTTACATTTTTGTAAAAACATTTCATTTACTGAATGAGTCTTTTTCTTTCGTTCTCCATAAATTAATGAGTTAATTTCCATCCCTGGTATGGAGTAATGATCTTGAAGGAGGATTTCTCTGTATGACAAACTGTTACAACATGTCACGTCACACAACATGTCAGATGCTTGACAAAAAAAATAGTTCCAGTGTAGAAAGATGACTATTTACATATTCAGACATGGAGTCAATGTGAGTCAAAGTTAGTCAATGAGGTTATCAACCGCTTATCACATCAGACATATTTACAACTAGTCAAGACTCATTTGCATAAGTGGGGTCAAATCATTTTGCAATTGCAGCACATGCAGTGCCCACATTATCGGCTGTAGTTCACGGTGTTACTTTATTAAAGTAAACAGCTGGGGGTACAAATTGTTCCTAATATTCAGGTCAGAAGTTTAATATGCCACAGATAAGGACTAGCACAAAAATCAATACGACCATTCATTTACAGCCGAACGGTCACGCCTTGAACGGCTCACGGACGGTCTTACCCTACAGCGCAAGATTGTTTACTAGCACACTTTCACAAAAACAACTTTTTACTTCTCTTTCTAAGTTTCAATCTGACCTTTCCAGACATTTCTATAATTACATTTCCTGCAAAACAGTATCTCCCTGTCTTGAAATGAAAATAATGGTTTCAGTTTTGGCACTGAGTATTTTCTGTAGGCTATCAATGATCAAGTGACAAACATCAGCGCTACTAATTGGATTCACTAAAAATGTAATCAGAAGTATTGATTTCCTGAAACATTAACAAAACACTCTCCCTGTCTTCCATTGGTCAGCAAACAGATAGTTGGCTGAGTCAGTGTTTACACAAATGCTTTTCTTATAAAAGAGTCTCTCTCTCTGCTTATCAAGTACTTTAATATCCAAAGTTAGCCAGCGGTAACATGTATGTTGACATGCTGCATGGTAGCAATATTAGAGTTCTATTTAATATAGCAATATTACAGGGTGGTTTGTTTTTTTATTACAAAAAACATGAAAGGAGAGAGACCGGTCATATCTGGAGACCTTTTGAACTTTCTATTCATCAAAGAATCCTGAGGGGAAAATGTGTGTGTGTGAGTAATCGCACAAGTGTGAAACGCACAATCTGAGACAATTAAGCAGGCAGGTTGTTGAGAACATTGCTGTGATAATATTCATAAAACATATTTTGTAATTTGTACAGTGACTGCTGGGGGATCATGGACATCCTGTTCAGGATCACACAAGATTGAAGGCAAGCCAAAGCTGCAGCTTCCTGTGGACTCTGAACATTACGTTCAGTTCTAAGGTTAAATAGCTTCAACACTGTGAGATTCAAGACTGACGAGTAAACAAACACCACCAACTAAAGGTCCAAGAGTGTGTCTTTTTAAAGGGGATAGGCCTATATAATGAAAAACAGAATTTTCTGCCCCACCTGAGAATAACAGAATGTGTGTACTGTTATGCAATGGTACGCCAATCATAACAGAGGTCAATTGCATGTAGAAATCCTGAAGGGGCAGAAACAAAACAGACTGTTGAACACTAATGGTCAGAAACAGGGTAGAAAATGTTCATGCAAATGGAAATACAGATCTTTTGAAAGAATACTGAATCTCCTGATCAAAACACATGCGAAGAAAATGCACAAACAGGCGATCTCATATGCAACCTTATGCATATGTAAGATGACGTGATCATCAACATTAAAAAACATAAATATCAAAACTGCCTAATGTTACAGAATGAAACATCGACAGGATAAGACTGTGAAGCTTTAGAGGGTGTTGATGATGGACTCAATCTGCTCCTTCTGTGTTTTGATTATTGTTCTGAATATGAAATTTTTGACAAAAACACAATTTTTCTTTTTCTTTTTTGTACGAAACTTACCCACATTCAAGTGTTGATATAAAAAAAGAATGCATAAAGTTAGAATAAAAAGTTTTTTTTTCCGTGATGAGCAATTTTATGATGGATAGATGCACTTTTATGGACTTCAAAACAGAAACGGCCATTCACTGCCATTTTACAGCTTGGACGAGCCTTGGAAGTGGGACATTTTTTAACATAACTCCGATTGTATTCATATGAAAGAAGAAAGTGATATACATCTAGGATGACTTGAAGGTGAGTAAATCAATTTTCATTTTTGGGTGAACTAACCTTTTAAGATCTAATATGACCCACTATAGTTGGGTAAGGGGCAGTCAGTCTTACTTTTCAGTATCAAATTAGACCCATCTATGTTTTTATATAACGGATAAAAAAATGTTATGAACCGTATTAAAGAATAATAAAAAAAAAAGATGTCTAACTTGTAAGACTGTCCTGACATTGTACACAGTGAAAAAATATTTTCAAGATTTGTTATCACAACATATTTTCTTTTGTCAGATCAACGTTATAATTTATTTAGTTGAGATAACTTATTATTTTGAGTTTCTGATGACTAAATTAATCTCCTTCATTGTATTAACTCACTTTTTACAGTTCAATCAACTTAAAATTTTAAGGCAACCCAGGTTACTTACTTTAAGTTAAACCAACAATATTTTTTACAGTGTAGTAATCACAACATTTTTTCTTTTGTCAAATCAACTTAAATCATTTATTTAGTTCAGATAACATATAATTTTGAGTTTCTGATGATTAAATCATTCTCCTTCATTGTATTAACTCACTTTTTCCAGTTCAATGAACTTAAAATTTTAAGGCAATCAGGTTACTTACTTTAAGTTAAACCATCAATATATTTTTACAGTGTAAGAGGATTTAGGGCAATTTTTTTTCTGATTTCTTTCACCAAATACAGTCATATTTTTGCATAATCAAAAATGTAGAAAAATAAACTGTTCATGAAAACTGACATTTTGTGTGTGTGTGTATATATACAGTATATATATATATATACACACACACACACACACACATTCGAATTATAGAGGAAGCATGCATATGCTTCGGTATGAGTAATTACCTTCCTTTGTGTTCCACTCCCTTCACCTTCACTCTCTATGTAAAAAAAAGAAAGAAACAAAAATAAGATGAAATAACTATAAGACATTTATTTTTGTCTCTAGACAACAATAAGTTTCTCTAATAGTGTAGTCCAGGGGCCCTTTATTATGGGATTAAAGTTAATCAAGGCTTCCCTCTGGTGGTCATTCTCTATTTCAACACACAGTAGTGGAATATGAGAAATACAATTACTTTGGTGCAACGTTCATCGACAAGAGATGCCTGTCAAGAGTTTTACTTAAAAAATCTTTAAAAGGTACAATTTTATCACTTTAATTATTTACCAAATAAATATCAAATCAGATTTTATTAATATTCTGCCTAATATATATATTTTTGCACATCATTTTTTGTTTGGTAAAAGCCTGGCATGATGTCTCAATATGTAGTGTATGACTAATGTCAAGTCACATTTCACCTATTTACCTTCAATACCTTGTTAGTAAGCGTATATGGGCCAAAGCACACAGCAGGTGAAAGTAACCGTCATTCAGGGTTTATGAGTGAGTGTGTGTACAGTGTTCACAGACGTGTGGAATGATAATACTCGAGTGGAAAACCCCTGTGCCCATACAAGGAGAGCTGCGAGAGCTCTGGATCTGTGGGAGCATTACTGAAAACAGCCTCAATAATGTAAACAGACACTGCGGCTTCTGGCGATCTCAAGGCATTTTAAAACAAACCGTAACGCTTTCAGTTCAGCAAAGCCTGACTGTAATGATGAAGAATGCTTATTTAATGTGCAGCCTATCAGACAATGTTCATCTGTTCTCATCGTACATTCAAGAAACCATTTGAGGACGTCTGAACCAGTCTTAAGGGGCCTGTTGTAGTTTGACCAACACACCCCTCCTCTATCGCCATGACTTTTTTTTTTTTTTTTTTACTTCTTTCTCTTGATATTTTTTTTCCCACACCACTTTCTCTCTCTGCTCTCTGTGCCTACTCTCCTTTTGTCAATCTCTTTTCAACGTCAACTTCTCTTCTAAAGCATGTGGGCGTTTAAGGTCATCGGTGTAAAATGAATGTGATTTTCGATTAAAGAGCAGAGAGGCTGTTGGGAGTTTGGTGACGTGAACAGAAACGGTTGCCTTCCAGATTTTCACAGCAGGTAATTGAGCTTTGGCTTAGATCTCTTTTCTAAAGGGTATTTTGGGGGAGAATATCACTGATTATTGATCTACTTTCAATGAAAAATATTCTTTTATTTGTAAATGTGTCAGGAGCAACTGAACTGAATTGAGTCGAGGTTTTTTTGGTAGAAAATAAGAAGTTGTGTTAATGGCGTCTTTTTATTCCAAGGAAATCAAACATCAAGGCGTTGCGTTCATAACTGTTTTCCCAGCAGAGCTTGTGCGAGGGGAAAAGAAAATCTGTCAAATCTCATTGCTAGTCATTGAAATCTCCAAAAGGAATCAGAATTTGGCTTTTGCACGTAATGAAAAGCATATTCTTTATTGTAGAGTGCATGCAAAATGTGTTGCTTCAGGCTTAGAAATGAATGTGCTGATGATTTTCAGTTCAAATTTGCATGTACATATTAGTGTTGTGTGCGTTTATAATATGCAGCTCACACCTACCCTGCATTACCATGCCTCTATTGAGAGATCTTCGGAAAAAAGATGACATCAATGCTGTTTATGAGCTGAAAGAGAAACTGGGAGAGTGAGTTTTCCTTCCTTACGGACTAATATATTCAATATTTAAGAGGATTCTGAACATGTAATGACTTGAGGAGATTTTCACATTTTAGTTTACCAAACACATTTAAAGATTTGCCGTCTAGAAGCAGAACATATTAAGACTCAGGAGACTTCACAATGTGCTTCTGGCACTCAAACCCATCATTAACCATTAATTGAGAACTAAAGTCATTATAACTGTTGTAAATGTATAATGTCTCAGGGGCTCGTTCTCTGAGGTTCGAGTGGCTCAGCACAGATGCACCCAGAAGCTTGTGGCTGTCAAGTGCATCCGCAAGAGAGCGCTAAAGGGGAAAGAATCCATGCTGGAGAATGAGATTGCAGTATTGCGCAGGTGAATCATTTTACAAAATGCTCTGGATTTATTTACTTGTTTGACTTCATGAAGGGTTGTTTACATTATTGTGGATATTATTAAAACACAGCTGCATTT